TACTAGTATTGAAAACCAACTCAAGTTCCTTGTAGAACCTAGAGAATTAGCAGCGACCGGTAGAGACTGCCGTGTGCTTGTTAGAACTCTCCGCTCCGCTCCGCGCGCAGCCTAGTAACTCTTGTTGCAAATATCTCAAATAATATGAGATATTTCAAAAAATTCATAAAAACATTTTTTATAGATATTTGTCTCCTCTACAACTTTGATCTCTACAAAAATTTCAAAATTCATCGTATTTGTGGAGAAAAACGAATTCGTTTATAAATTGTTAATAAAAAACATACTTAGGGATAGCGGAAAATGGCGGAATTTGAATATGTTGTTCAGTATATTTTTCTGAACACAATGACGTAATAAAACCTTGTGTTGCAATTTTTTTTAAGTACCCCTCCTTTTTTCCGTATTTTGACTGGACTAAAACCGCAACGCGCCGTCATCGCCGTTCCGCCGTCTCTCTCGCTTTCGACGATGTGGCTTGCGCGCATAATCGCGTTAACCGCGTGTTTTATCGCCGCGAGGTACATCAATTCCACAATTACCGACGAAAATTACGCGCTCACGTTTGATTACCTGCAGAAATACGGATATCTGTCCAAAGACGTAGACGCGGTTCCGGCTCAGAGACGAAACGACGTTTTTCGCAATGCCTTTGAGGAGTTTCAGAATTACTACGATTTACCCGGCGATGGAATGCCCAACAACGAAACGCTGCAATTGATGAGTAAACCGCGATGCGGGTTCCGAGATATCCTGAAGCACGGAACGAAAGCGAGCCTATCCAAATGGCCGAAGACGCACCTGACGTGGAATTTTCACTTAACCGACGAGACCGAGCTGAGCACGGCGCGGGCCGCGTTCGACCTGTGGTCGCAGCATTCGGCATTCACGTTTGAACGCTCCGAAACAAATGCCGACATTATAATATCTTGGCGACGCCTACGTCACTATAACACGAATACCAAGGTAAACGGAGCAATTTGCTCGGACAAATTCGACGGTCCCGGCAACGTGCTCGCCCACGCGTCTCTCCCGACGGACCAAGCGGGGTTCGTCTCCGAGGTGCACGTCGACGGGGACGAGCCGTGGCACATTTACATCAATAAACATCCCGCGGATAGGTTCTCCCTGCATTACACGCTGACGCACAAGATCGGCCACTCTCTCGGGTTGGTGCACAATAGGCGCAAAACATCGGTGATGTTCGCGATACAGCCGGACCAGCAGTAGCTTCCGGTGAAGCTCGACTAAAGTACGAACGAGCCCCCGCATCAGACGCCGGCGCCGCCGCCGCCGCCATCGCCGGACCTGTGCAGCCTTGATCACGTGAACGGGATATTGATTTTGGAAAATCGAATGTACATCTCGTACAAACGTTACGTTTGATTGATCGATCTGGACGGTAGGACGTACAACGGACCTTTAGCCCTTTCGAATCACATGAGCTTTTTTCACGACAATTACACGCGCGTGACCGCCGCCTATTAATTTCCGTCCGGCAATCTCGTGGTGATCGTAGATAATTTGGTATACTTGGTTCAATATCCGGAATTTAGTCTGCGGCCAGGTTGGCCGAAAACCTTGCAAGAACTCGGATTTCCCGAAAACACGTTGATCAACGGAGCGGTGAACACCCACAGAGGACGTTCCTTTGTGGTGTTCAACGGTAACTCGGTAGACGAGATAGAATGTCACGATAGAATGTCACGAGAGCAAGAGAGTCGCCAAATTTACGCCCCTTGAGGCGACGTTTCCCGGAATACTGACCGGCGTGACGTCGATCTTCCGCTACGTCGTACTTCACCACTCGGGCACAGTTCCACAAATTCAACGAATTTACGAGGACCGTCTCGTCGGCCAGTAAATTCGATCTGCGGATACTAAACATCGTCTGCCCTAAGGCCGAACTGTTGCAGCAGTTGCGCGATCTCTTCGATCAAATCGTACGCCTCAACGATAACTCATTAACGTCACCGGCGAGCGATTATTCGGACGATGACGACACCGGCGTTCGGCTCTCCAATCTCCGCATACGCCGAAGGAAGTAGAGGACCGCGCAAATTTCCTACACCACGCCACGCGCGACATAAGTGAGATCTTTCCTACTTATACCGATGTGTCCCCCCAAGGCATCAGTGTCGCATCGTCGGCCAAATACGACGCGTCGGAAAAAAATCAGAAACGAACGGTTACTGCAGCGCGTGCGAAATGTTCTCGACGTTGGTGGACGATTGTCATTATCATCGTCATCGTCAGGAGCCGCGTCACAGCTCTCATCCTCCCACCGACGCGCCCGTTAAAGACGATCGTCATTATCGTCGTCATCGTCAGGAGTCGCGTTCCAGCTCTCACCCTCCCACCGACATGCCCGTCGAGGTGCCCGCGGTGCGCGGTCCTGACGACGCGTTATCTGCTGACGACGACTGGCTACAAGTACATAGCCATAGGTATCACGATTAAATCACCATGGTACAGCACAAACACCACGCCTTCGTACGTGGATATCGCCTTGGGAGACAAACAAGGCAGGGAGGTCTCCCTGACGCTCGACATGTAGAAAGGACTGGTCGAGCGCAAACGCGACATATTGTCGTGCATGGAACACGGTCTCTCCGACGGAACTCGCCCCCCCTCGCCGATGTCGATCGGAAGGATGACGCTGCGATTTGGAGTGATCAACAACATGCCGATCCTACGTATGAAGCTACCCAACTTGGCTCGCGTGGCGATGGTGCTCAAAACCCTGCTCACGCTGTACGATCTCCAATTTTGCGTCGATCGCGTCGTCTCGGCGCTGAGCGTGGCGACCGAGGAGATCGACGCGAAGTATTTGCGCTATCGGGAGATAGCCGCCCACGCGATCAAGACGGGTACCTCGGCTCAAACTGCGATACTGAAGAGTGATTTCTTCGATCCTGACAACATCGTCGACTGCGAGATCGCCGCGCTCTGTTTCCGATCCTAATAATAATGTCGCGAAGCGCGTCTACAAATATATATATTCATACGCGCGAAACAATGTAAACGCACGTCGACGCGCGTGTATTTTTTCTAAATAAGTAAACTACGTATCTCATCTGTGTGCGCTCTCTTTTTCTTTTTTCCTTTTTTTCCCAGATCCGTATTACCCCTTACCCCAAAATTGCGGCGATCGCGTCATCCGCGATACGCGGGGAAGGGTCGGAACGACCTTCGGAACGAGAAAAAAACATGATCGAAGAAAGGTGACCGCGATCCGCGAAACGAACGACCTTGAACGTATATTTTTTCCGGAACGTTGAGAGGAACGACCTCGAACGAGTTCGAACGAGTTCGGGCGAGTTCGGACGCGCCAGGACGCGCGCGAGCGAAAAAAATTAGCGCGCGATTTCCAAAACAGTCGATAACGGCGCGAGCGCCCCGCCGAAACGCCCGCGTCTCCGCGCCGAGCCCCGCTGGCGACCCTGCGGCGCGACGTTCCCAATTACCCGCCTAGGGAATTTACGTCCTACAAGGTCCCCCACAAATACCAGTAAACGGCCGTCCCCTCGCGTCGCGCTCCCCCCTCGCCCCGCAAATCGCCTAGTGACTTTTCCCCCCGCAGGTCCCCCCCTTCGATGACCCTTAACACCGTCCCTCGACCTCCTCGCCCACCGCTTACGGCGTTCCTCCCGCGGCAGCGAGGCACCCCCCGACCCCCCTAACCGCAAGCGACATGCCTAAGTGTAAAAGTGGCTATTACCCTCCTACTGTTGAGCAGCACTAGGTGTTGGTGAAAGAGTAGATAATTTCACTGCCTTAATAAGCCGCTTCAAATTGAAGTAAGCAACGTTAGTATTCGGTGATGTTTAGTTTTTGACGTGACATTTTCCGAAAACTACAAAAATTGGAAGAATTATGCTTCGTTTGCAGAAAATCGCTGTTGGAAAGTACAACTGTTTTGTTGAGCGTGGTTTAAAAACTTTACGAGACGGGAGTGCTGAAAGAAATGATGGGAAAATTGAACATTTGCGTAATGTCAATTCGATAAAAATTCATGTTTACTGCCGTAAGAACTATACTCGAAGGAGTAGCATTTTGGCCTTTAAAAAAGAGCGAGATGAAGGTGCCAGCACGTCTACGAGTAGTCCACCACGGAGTAGGATCCGTTCAAGTGAACCAAGTTTCAATTTTAAAGAACTATGTATGTTTTGTGGTGAGGAAGCGTGTGAGGTGAAAGAAAAGAAAAAAACTCAAGAAAATCGTTGGAAAATTCACCATGTTTCGACGTTTTCTTTTAAGAACTCCATAATTGCCGCAGCTGATAAGCGTGGTGACAATGTCGCAAAAGCCGTTAAAAAACGGATTATCCTCAAGCATGATTTGGTTGCAGAACAGGCCAAATATCATTACGAGTGTTATCTTTGTTTCAATAAGTCTATTACAAGAGGCAAGGTTGGTCGTCCAGAAGATAATAACGTTACACTCGCAATGGAAGACATCTTTTCCTACATTGAAAATAATGACGACAGTCAATTTACACTAACAGAACTGAAAGGTGTATGTAAAAATTTCATCCCGGATGAAAAAACTATAAAGAAGAAGCTGCTACAAAGATATGAAAATAAAGTAGTCATAACAACAAAAAGTAAAAAATTCTACCTTAATATGTTTTACTGACGTGCAGCATGACGTTTTACACAAAGAATGGTATGAAAATAGGAAAACAAATAGACAAGATGAACGTCTTAGAATTGTAGAAGCAGCCGCAAGTATTATTCGCAAGGATATTCGTTTGGTACCCATGAATAACGATTAATTATTATCCTCCCACTAATCAAATGTTTAATGACATCAGCAATGACATTCCGAATACTTTGACTCATTTTCTGGAAAAAATCATATTGAAAAATAAAAGAGGGAAATCGGATCAATTACATTTTAAATGCAGCGCTTTAAGCCATGCTATTGCGGCAGCAGTCCGTCTAAGATCATTTATATCTCGATTACAACTAGGTCTGTCGATATTCCTTCACAGGAGATTTGGATCTAAACGTATTTTGGATATTTTATCAAGTTTTGGTGTATGTGCATCATATAAAGAAACTGTTATGTATAAGGTTGCAACAGTGCACCATCCCCAGCCTCATATTTTACCACCCCAAACAGGAACGGTTCTTCAGTTTGCTGCTGATAATGCTGATATAAATGTTTATACACTTGATGGTCATAATTCAGTTCATATTATGGGAATAATTGAAATAATAACGCCAGCAAGTGCGATCATAGCAGAGGAACCGATAGCAAGATGGACGACCATGCCAAGTGCAAAAGACATCGCTGCAATAGCTCACGTGCCGATCCAAGTCTATGAAAATTATGGTGAATCAGGATTAAGCAAAATTAAAGTTGAAAATATCGATTGCGATGATGTAACAACAGTCTCGATGTTCCGTAAAACTGATATATATTATATTATGGATGTATGGAAAGTGGAGTTGTATATCAGGAGTACCAGGTTGGAACGGATATATAGAATGTTTAACGAAAAACGATCGGAATTTTTCTACATCTCGAATCTTGTTTTTACCATTCATTCATCAGCCAGCAACTGATTATAACACTATTTATACAACTTTGAAATGTGCCCTTGACAATGGAAAACGGTATGGCCATAATACATGTATTATCACTTTTGACCAACCTTTATATATGAAAGCACGAGAAATTGTGGCAGCATCAACAGATACGTCAGAATTATCAACAATTGTAGTGAGACTCGGGGGTTTCCATTTGCTGATGTCCTACCTAGGATTAATTGGTTATATAATGGCAGGAAGTGGTCTCAAAGAAGTACTTTATGGACACGCGTCATTTACGGACCAAATTCTATAAAAAAAATTCTAAATGGACACGCTTATGCAAGAGCTGTCAGAGCTCATACATTGCTTCATTTGGCTTTATCAACGATAGTATCAAACAATATTGCTATAAATGACGGCATTCGTGAAAATCTCTGAACCTCCATTGAAGATGTGATGAAAAGTATTACATCATATGAGGAAATTGAAAATTCAGATTGTGATGTTCAACCATTACTGGATAAATTTAATGAAAAATTACGTGAATATGAAAAAAGAGGTCCCACAACAAGATTATGGGTACAATATTTTCGGATGGTATCGATTGCATAAGAATTTCTAAGAGCCGAAAGAATGGGAGATTGGTAAGCACATTTGAATTCCATTAAAAAAATGCTTCCATACTTTCAT